CTTTTTTCTTCCATAGTTCTTTGCCCCAAGCTTCCTTCATATCACTGTTGCCCTTTTAAAGAACTGAGTAACAGTCTATATTAAAAAGAACACTTGATTACAATAAGGCAACTTTCTGCATCACATATAATGTCCAAAAGAGAAAGAAAAAAGGTTAGCGTACATATGTTGAATTCTAAAATTCTAGGCCACTTCCATACTGGCTGTTATCATATAAAATGACAAACTAAGCTACTGTGGGAACTGTGGCTTATCATGGGCAACCAATGTGTTCATCCATACTGCTGGATCACTCCCACTTGCAAAGGAAAGGATGAAACAAAACAGATTTACTCCATAGCTAATCATATCATATAAAATCAGGTCAGTCTAAAAATGTAAACATTCCTGAATCTTGAAGCAATGGAAAATAATGTTTTGGACCAGAAATGCTTAGAAAACAAATAAGTGTTTCTGCGGTTCTCTGAATTATCACGTACTGCAAACTAGGGCATTTCCATCCTGTTAAATTCTGATTACAATCCTGATTACATTCTTATGAATACTGCAACATTCACATTTAACTCCAAAACTGATTTTTGTTGGATTTTGCAGCATTTTTTTGTAGAGAAATCTTCAAAACACTCACCCATATCTAACCTATGTTAATTCTCGAATGTATTCTGATCGTACTGTTTCATTTCCAGTATCCCACCAAGATATACAGTAGGAGGAGTGTCCTTCCTTTTTAAAGTTAATAACTGAACACAGGGAATAAAGACAGCATAAAGTTTGTGGAATATTCTAGTAAATTTAACTTGATGACAAAAGTGTAATCCTTTTAATAAGTAGTCTAAAGGTTGAATCAAATATCAACACAATCAGGATTCAATCAAATAGCAATACACAAGTTCTGAGCCACCCTTACTTGGAAATAAATAAACAAGAGCTATTCAAAAATTTAAGCTAGTCTCTGCATGGCTGAAAGTATCTCCCTATGACAATTGACTCGGTTTACTTTCTTCAAGATTTCTCAGGGAGACTGAATTTTTTTAAAGGGTATCCTCTTGTACATATGCTCTTTCATTTCTGCATCTCTGTTGAACCTGGCAATTGGGGAAGAGGCAAAGCTGGAGATAAAGAAAGTAGTGATCTCTTCCACTTATATACTCTTCTCCCCTATCATAAGGAATCTCCCCTTCTTCCACTCCTACAAATAAAAAATACCTCATGAATTTGATGCCAGTTAATAATTTTGTTACTGTTAAATTCAGCAAAAGGAATTTTAGAAACGATATGAGATCTTGTGATGCAACTCGTAATGAAAAGAAATACAAAATTTCTTTTTATGTTAGGTTAAAAAGAAACAAATCATTTGGGGTGCTGTCATGGCCAAGTGTGAATTCCTATGAACACTACTATGATCCTTAAGGGGAAAATGTGCATCAAAAATATAGTTGATATGCAATTATTTTTATTTTAACGAGGAATTTAAAAGCCTTGCCACAAGCTTTGCAGTTAGTTTGCATTTGAACTTGATGCTGAATTATAACATGTATATGCATGACAAAGACACTGATGTACGAACTGTGTCTTGCTTGCAGGTATACTTCTGTTACATGTCGGACAATGGAAACTCTGATTGTATTAGTCATGTTAACTTAGTCACAGGTCATTTCCTAGAAAACTCTTTTTACACAGTCTCAAATTAACATTACCTTAAATTTTACACTTGACCATGACCCATTATCTGTTCAATGTGTAACAAATTGAAAGAAGCACTTCTTTTGATTTTGCACTTTTAAAGGCAAGGACTGCTGAACTTATAGCTAAATTCCCGACACTGCGAAGCTAATTTAGACATTTAAGCTGTACTAAATTATTTTGGAAGGAAAACTTAAGCCTGTCAGCAAACTATTTAAAATTAAGAGCCATTGCTCGGCCTGGGTTTTGCTTTGACATATGAGCAGTGTTTGAGTTAAGAGCCATTGCTCGGTCCATGTTTTGTTTTGACATACGGGCAGCATTTTGAGTAAAGAGCTAGCACCAGAGGAAATGTTAGCACAAGAGTACAAGGCTTTCTTTGAGCAACTTTGAGTTAGTTGATTTTGTGTGATTTTTATTCCTGGTATGTTTGGCTTTATGAAGAGAGGGAGGGAGGTTGGAATGAGTACAGTATGAAGAAGACGATGTTTCTGCATCTTCACCTTGTGCTTTGTGATTCCTTGCCGCAACTCTGTGCTTCTACCATTGTGCCACAACTTCGAGCTTCTACTATTTTAAAGTTGATCTGTCTTTTTTATTCTTCCATGTAAATGTGCATTCATACATTATGTGATATTTATAAAGTACCTTTTCTTATTTAAAAACATGTAACAAAAAAAGTTGTGTGATCAGGGGGTTTGGGCAGCCGGAACAGTTAAATAGCATTTCAGTGGGAAATCTGTTTTGATATAAGAGCAAATTGAGTTAAGAGCTCAATCATGGAACAAATTAAACTTTTAACTCAATGTATATAGGTCTGCAAACCTATGTAGACTTCTCCAGAAGCAAATCCCAGTCCAAATAACAGAATCTCTTACTCAAGAGGGTTTTTTTTGTCCTATTGCCATTTAACAAATATCTGAGATCACTACGTACACTATAGTATTTGATATCACAGTGATGTGTCACTAAAGTGTCATGCTTTTAGGTACTTGATATGTACCGTATATTCCGGCATATAAGACGACTGGGCGTATAAGACGACCCCCAACTTTTCCAGTTAAAATATAGAGTTAAGATGACTCCCATGCATAAGACTACACCTGCATATAAGACGACCCCTGACTTTTGAGAAGATTTTCTTGGGTTAAAAAGTAGTCTTATACGCCAGAATATACTGTAAGTCAACCTCAAGAACACATTTTTGAGGTAAAATTATGGATTTTGATATGACCTGTGGATAAGTCAAAGGTCATTCTATGGAGAAGGATACACACCAATGCCGCCTCAGAGGGGCTAGTTGCCCCAGTCACAGTCATATACAAGACCTTCCACCACTCTACCCAGAAAAGGGGATGATTCCTTTTCTGATAAAAGTTAAGGTACAGTAATAAATCTTATTTTAAAAAAGCATTCCTCCTATGACTAGAGTGGCAAAAAAGTGAAAGCTAAAAGAACTACTAACCCACTTTCATTTTTCAGAGCACCTCTGAAAGAAGCAAGACAGAGCTGTCACTGCTGATGCCATTTTCCTACTCAGGTATTCAAATAGCTTAAGAAGTAGCACCATGGAGGAGAGGACAGGGAGGGTTGAGCTTCTTTTACATTCTCTTCAGGATAGAATAAACACTTATTTGTTACAACCCTATTCAGAGATGGGGATGGTTCCTTCCTTAGTAAGAGTTAAAGTCAAGCACTTGCACTGACTAATGGATTTTGGGGGTCAATTTTTGACAAAATGTCTTAGATGTAAACATGAGCATATACAGCACATTATATTATAGTAACATATAATATTAGGGGATGAGTATATCAAAAGTTCTTGTCCTCATTCATGGCATCCTGTGAACATAAATGGTCCTTTGAGGAAACCAATTCAATCTTAGTGTCACATAAAGCGTTTCCTCTTCCATCATTATCACCAATATCAGTGTAACAGTCTACCAGCTATCATCAAATTATGTGAAGTGTTCCAAGCAGTGTTGCTTTTTGCAACTCATATATTGTCAGTCAATTTGTGACTATTCGCAGAGCACTTGTCACTATTGGAACTACTATTATAGTATTGCTATTATTTTAATAAAAATAAAATGAATCCAGAATTTTCATCACAGAAGGAAATGGCTAAGCAGTATGGCTAGTAACAACAGTGCTACTGTTGACCCTCAACTTTCATGGAAGTTAAGGGTGAAGAATTCCCATGAAAGTGAAAAAAAAGTAAAAATGCCTCTACAGTGTGAATATGTTCCCTCAGCTGCTTACTCATTCTAGAGGAAAAGGGGAAGATGATAGGATGGAAGAGATAAAGGAAAACTGAAGCAAAGAGAAGCAGAGGAGCTCTTTTCTATTTACTGTTTTGCAACTTGCTCTTGAGTTCCACTGCCAGACCTATGGTCACAAGGGGACTTTCCCCATTTTTTCCCTCCCGCTTCCACCACTCACAAGCGTACATGGTGTAGAAAGAGCCCTAAGCATACCTGAAAGGCCGGTTATACTGGCCATTCACTCACCTCTCTCCTTCTCCCCTTGCCACTTCAAAGTGTATCTCCTTCTACCATGCAATCACAGTCACATGTTGGGGTGCAACATGTATGTGCTACCTCCCTATATGAAACAAGAGGAGGAGGAGGTGACGAGGGCTGATGGCAGGGATTGCATCAATGTGAAAGATTAAATCAAGGGAGTGGGTGGTGGAGATGATGAAGAGAAAGAGAGCATGTGTGCTTGTGAGGTGGGGAGCAGCACAGGACGAAAATGAGGAAAGCCCACTCATGACTGCAGGAAATTTGGAGCAGAAACATTTGTTCATTTTGTATTGTTTTATGGCTTTGAATGTTTGCCATCCTCTACTGGAAACTGCCCTGAGTCCCCTCAGGGAGATAGGGCAGGTTATAAATAAAATTATTATTATCAATGGAGAAGTGCCTTCTCTTCCCGGCCACCCCCCTTCCCACTAAGTTTTCTACCTTCCATCTGTTCCTCCATCCCATCCAACCACCACATGAATGAGTGAGAGAGGGAATGCAGACCCAGCCACCCCACCAGTTTGGCTTCCTCCCAGCCACTATAGATTTGACCACTGGCTAAGCATGACTTGACCAACTACAGTTCATGATCAACCCTGTTTTTTTTTTTAAGTCCTTATTGAAAATGGTGTAGCACCACAGTGGTGGTAGCAACAAATAATCAAATATGCAAAGGTTATATCCATGAATGTGGAGGACTGACTGCATTATTTCGTATAAAAATTCAGTCACGTTATACAAAAATTAAATTATTTTAAAACTTGTTCCTGCTTACCACATTCAAGCACTTACCACTGCCTAGTCTGAGAAGCAGTACATCTTGTAGCCGCCTGTTCAAGTCTCTGAGCTCCTTCATTTCTGACACTAATGTCCCATATTCTTTTAGCTTTTTCGCTTGCTGAACAAGCTGTCTTCTTGTTCTTTCAAGTTCTTGCTGAATGTGTCTCATTTCTTCCTGCTGTTGCTGATAGCTTCTCAGTAATTCTTCATAAAGAACTCGAGGAACTACCGCATCGTCCATATTGTTCATCCTTTCTGAAGGTTCAAAAAATGTTGCCTCAGGACTAGAATTGCTACTGAGACTCATTCCATTTTGTTTCTCAAGGCGTGCAACAACTGCTTCGATGCTTTTGTGCGTGCCTTCATTTTGTTTCCTCCCATCATGTCTCTGTGTGTCACAACAAAACACTGTATTAATACACTGTAGCATATAGCATGCTATATGGGTCTACAATAATTAAAGCAGGGATCCTTTACAATCCTCCCAGGGGGATATATCCATCATATACAATATTTTTATTGCAGCAAGGAGTTTTCAAAAAACACAAACACAAACATTCTACCCAACTATTATGCAAACATTCTACCTCATTGTGTAATATATGCCAAAACATAGCAATGCCATTAAAAAAAATCAATCTTTTGTCAGAGTGCATCTGGTTGTGATTTATATCTTTTGGCTTCTTATTTCATTATGTAATGATCTATACTGTGTATCTGAGGAAGTAGACTTAGTCCACAAGAGCTTATGCTGCCAACTTCATTCTCTCAGCTCACCTAGGGCAGTTCCACACATGACTTTAATCCGGCCCAATCAGGTTTCTTAATTTTGATTGGGCCCAGGTTAAAGTCTGCACACCTTCCCTCCAACATCCGTTCTTTCCTGGGGGGAGGGTGTCCAGACCCAAACAACCCCCATCCCAAAATGCCTTAAAACTCAAAAATAACATACTCAGCTGCCATTCCCCTTTCTCCGGAGCTCTCCTGGTGTGTAGAAATGATGCACCACAAGAAGGGGGAGGAGGAATTTTCCTCCTCCCCTCCCTTCTCATGGCGTGTCATTTCTATGTGTCAGTAGAACGGCCCAGAATACCTGTCCGAAGGTATCTCCTTCTATGTCCCACCTCGGAATTCAACAACGAGAGTATGCTGGCAATGCTGCCCTAGCAAAGGAAAAACCACTCTGGCACGGAGAAAGAGGCGGAGAAAGGGGCGGGGCGAGAGGCGGAGTCTCATGACGTCAGGGACGTGCTGGCACAGTTTGCTCCCGCAGGAGGCTAGTTTGGGACGGGTCTAAGATCTTCTGGGGAGGCCCTGCTCTCGGCCCCGCCTTTATCACAAGTGAGGCTGGTAGGGACGAGGGACAGGGCCTTCTCAGTGGTGGCCCCTCACCTGTGGAACTCACTCCCCAGGGAAATTAGATCATCAACATCCCTCCTCTCCTTCAGAAGGAAGCTGAAAACATGGATATGGGACCAGGCCTTTGGGTAATCTGGCAGACTGACAAGGTAATGACGACCAGAATGTGGAAAGGACTATGGTAATGCTGAATGGACTTACGGATTTTAGAACTCAGTGAACGTTGGCCACTAGATAGGCTTTTTAGTTGTTATTGTATTAATTGAATGTTTTAACTATTGTGGTTATTTACAGTTCTTATTTATTTACAGTTCTTATATTCCGCCCTTCTCACCCCGCAGGGGACTCAGGGCGGATTACAGTAAACACATATATGGCAAACATTCAATGCCAGTTTGACAAACAACATTTAACAGACAAATACACCGAGGCTATTTAACTTTTTTCTGGCCGCCAGGGAGCTGCTGCTTTTCATCGTCCATCAACGACACCGATGAAGTTCTTCCGCATTCCACATTCCCCGGAGTCTTCTTTCTTTATGGCCTCATAAATTAGTTAAATTTAGCCTCCCACACAAGGTGGTACCTTATTTTCCTACTTGACAGATGCAACTGTCTTTCGGGTTGCAAAGGTCGACAACGGGCTACACAATGGCTGGACACCCACTCCAGCCCGGGCTGGCTTCGAACTCATGACCTTTTGGTCAGAGTGATCTTAATGCAGCTGACACTCAGCCAGCTGCGCCACAATCCCGGTGCTTGTTGTTATGTATTTTATTGTTGAATTGTGGCATCGAATTGTGCCGGTTGTAAGCCACCCTGAGTCCCCCCTAGGGGGTTGAGTAAATAAATAAATAAATAAATAAATAGAGTTCTGGAGAAAAGGGAATGGCAGCCGGGTAAGTTATTTTTGAGTTTTAAGGCTTAAAGGGGTTTTGGGAGGGGGTGGAGGCTGTTTTGAGGTTTTTGGGCACCAGGAGCCAAAAAACCCCAAGACACCTGTGTGGCTTGGGACTGGAAGTTGTGTGGGGTGATTCTCAGGCATAATCCACACAGCGCCCAGACCTGGAAAGACCCGGGTTTTACCAGGTGGCAAATTAATTTGGGACAAAGCATGGTTCTCCTGCTTTGTCTAAAATGAATTCATTTTTACATGAGGCATCGTTTGGACACCCCAGGGAAAAACGCAGACACCTGCATGTTTTAGGCACTGTCTGGGTACACCCCTACACTCCCCTTTGCAAGATAATTCCATTTGGGAAACATAGGAGGAATTTGTAAATTTATTTCATTTCGTGTATATGTTCCTTTCTTCTAGAGTGGGACCTGACATGGAAAGCTGTACACATATCCTTTCTTGGTTTGCTCTTTTCCATGGATTTCTAAGAATCTTCATAAAATAAAAATTCTTTGTGAAAATACTGTGTGTGCTTCAATTTGCTACAAAACAAGCAAAGAAAAGCACACCAACAAAAGATTTTGATCTCAAACTCTATTTCTGAAGATCAATAAGGAGCCCAAACGGATATAAAGTATCTTCTATGCAGTATAACATTTACTTGTGAAAGGACAAATGCTGTTCATATTTAATTGATACTCATGAGGGAGGGTAAGAAATAAATAAATACATTTAAGATCAGGGATTTACTCCAGTGCAGTTACAAGTCATTTACTATTTGCTAAAGCAAAATTACAAATGAATTAAAAGAAGGTTTTGCAATCAAGAAGCATAAATATAAAAGAATGCATTGATCTAATTAAATCACAAGAAATTTTTCCCTGAAACTATATAGCCTTGCACTGTATTCATACATTCTTTAAAGAGGTACAGCAAGAAAATTCAGTTGAAGATAGTCCTATGCTTTAGAATAACCTTCATATTCTCTGAATAGTGCTCTGTAGTATCCTGGCAGAGCCCAATGAGTAGTCCCTTTACTCTTTTCCCTACAGAAACACACATTTTGCCTTGTTGATAATTCATTAAACCTGGCTAAGTGTTCATCACAGTATAAATCAACCCAATTGAGCTTTGGCACAGTTTGGTATAGTGCCATCTGCAAATAAAATGGTAAAATGGTGCTTCTGAGCAGCTGGTCATTCTCAAGCTATTCAAATATTTGGAAAAGAGTAAAAACCCACAATTCAGTAGGGGGAACTTTATTTTCAATAGAAAGAATAAGGCCTCACTTTAGACATTCTTCTTCTAAACTATGTGGAATGGTAGTCTGAAATCTATGGGTAAAAATATCTCATTCAAAATAGTATACCATGTTGATGAAGACTCCTCAGTGACAGCCAGAACAAAGATGTGGCCATGGTAAATATGACATAATGATATTGCATGTGTATCTGCCTTGTCGATCAACTTCCTTTGAAATATATCCTACATACCTGGTATTGCAAAGGAAGGCAGATACACAAGCAATATATTTATGTCATATTTACCATGGCCACATCTTTGTTTTGGCTGTAACTGAAGAGTCTTGATCAACATGGTATTCTATTTTGAGTGAGATATTTTTGCCCATGAGATTCAGACTACCTCTAGGGTATTTAGACCATCATCAATACAAGCTGTTGTATATCATTGTGCACCACCATTGGCAACTACAAGACATGAGACTACCCCCCCCCCCCCCCCCCACCAGCTTCCCCAAAGGTAAAGAAGTGTTCAACTGGTGGCAAAAGTTTGGGGGGTGTTAGTATTTGAGATTTCCAAGTAAAGGAGACTCAATCTGTACTCATAATCAAAGTTGGGTAAGATAATGTTTTTCATCAGAAAACCTACTTAACACAACAGCGACAAAGTTGAAAAATGCATAGCAGCTGACAAAAGGCTAGATTCTGAAAGCTTTTATGCATAGAGAAACAATATGGGGTAGTGATTTGAGCAATTCAAGTGACCAGGATGAAATCCCAAGTCAGTTACAGAAACCCATTGGGTGACCTTGGGCAAGTCAATTCCTTTCAGCTTCAAAAGAAAGCAAAAGCAAAACCTCTTTAAATAAAACTTGCCAAGAAAACCCCTTAAGGTTGCCACAAGTCGGGAATAGGAACACAACAATATGGCCCAAAACCAATGGGCCAAAAATGTGCAATCCACAAGCAAGCAAGCAAAAACAAAGGAAAGGAATCATAAGGTATACACATCCTATGCAGTGTTTTCAGAATGGTTTCTGTACAAAATATTTCCTTATACTGTATTATGGATGTCTCCTAGAAAATTTTACTTTTTGCCAATAATTTTGACTTTGTAAAAGGTATGAGCATCATAGCCAGATACTCTCCATCTATGGGATGCCCCTCACAAACTTGTTGGAGGTATGTCTTTTAATATGTAAAGTATCATCGTTGTGTTTGCAGGGGACTTACCATGGAAAAAGCTTAGTAATAGTGAACCCTATTGAAATGAACAAGTTACATTGGAAGTTCACCTAAAATCATGTTGGAGAACCTAGAAACTTTCTGGAGAGAATTTGTTAGGTGCCCCAGGATGACTCTATGGTTACTCCTGGAAACAGCATATCATAAGAACCCCTGGAAGACCTATACAATTCTTAGAGAGGACTCATTTTGTTGGATGAGGATAGGTAAAACTGTGGGCACTAGGCTCGGGGATAATGGTTGTATTGTACTAACAAGTTGTTGTTGACTCTAAAATTGTTCTGCACAAACTTTTCTTGTCACCTAAGACACTGATCTTAAACTGTGAGTCTCAACCCCAAATGAGGTTTCCTTAGCTCAATGTTAGGGTCACGAAAAATTTGCCAACAGGAAAAGGTTTCTGATCGCCACTCATTCGCACAAATCTGTCAATGTTTACAATGGACTCTGCAGAAAATGCTTCAGCTGAACTCCACAAAAAAGACAATCAGCCTGTTTAGCAAGCCTTGCAAATGCTGATTTATATTCAATCAATGTTTGGCTTTTACACCTATTTGACAAACTTATATACCTGGGGTCATATAAACATGTCTTGGAGGAAAGTGGACACATGGGAAAGGTTTAAGAAGTTCTGACCTAAGAGACAAATGTATTAATACATGATCCATGGGGATATTTTTCTGTGAAGCTTGCAATTTATAAAGTACTTAATTAACTATGTAAAGTAGCCCATTATGACTTGATTGTAGCACAGAAAACTTGAAGTAAACAAAGAAGTCTGGCAGCAGATGTTATCTCAAAAGTGGATATATGAACATTTATATTTGCTTTTACAATAAAAATTTAGTTGAAAGTCTGATCATTAAACTTTTTAAAACAAAGCAAAAAACCTTCTTGGCCAACCTGAAGAAGTGGGTAAGTACTGCCACTAAAAGAGTTTGCACACAGAGTAAAATAGTTGAATTTGAAGAAGATGACCTTTACAGCAATTGGTGCTAGATATAATGGTCACATCTTCTCCAACCTTAGCTGAATAGTATAAAGAACATTTAATTGGAAGTAAATTCTACTCTCTTCAATAGAATTGATGTCTGTATAACTATGCACAAAATCACAATCTACATTTCTACTTCCTTTTCTCCAAGAACCAAAGGGCACCCTGAAATTCGGAAATTGCTTTTAAAAAGATTAACCAACAAACAAAACTACAATACCTTACAGTGTCTAAGTTCCATATCTTCATCCCCATAATCCGTTATCTCCCCTGTTTCTTCTAGGTGATTGAGAGAGAGTTTGGGGATTTTAATTTTCTTCTGCATCACTCTGTTTTCAAGGTCAGTCTTATCTTCTGTAAATTTACATAAAAATAAAATTGGTCACATTCATCAAACTAGTCATTCTATATGACTGAGGCCAGACCATTTCAAAAGTTCCCATGTTTAATTCCCTCCTGAAGTAAAAGCAACTGCTCCACAGACTCTCATGAAATGAAGACTGGCAAATGAAATTTTAAACATCTGTCTCTCCAAAATGGAAAACCATAGCCAACAATATCATATAGGTATTCAGAAATTTAAATATATAAAAATATAGCTTTCCATGATCAAGAAAACACACAAAACATCAGACAGTCTTTCATAAAAATATTTTAAATTTAAAAAATACCTTCTACAAAGCCATTAGGTTTTTCCCAAAGGATGAACAGTAGTTCCTAGTCCCAAGGCAATGGAAATCCAGATTAAATTCTCACTCAACCATAAAGCTCCCTGAGTCACTTTGGTCCTGTTATTTCATCTCAATCAACATATCTTATAGGATTTTTATGAGGGTAAACTGTAATGTAGGAAGAATCTTGTAATAAAAATTTACGAAATAAATGATATATTCCACTCTGAATGCTGCTAAGAACCCTGCACTTCATTATTGTTTGTCCCTGGTTTTCCTTACAGAAGTTGAAATTTAACAAATCAAGGTTTCTAGGAAATTTGGATCCAATGAAAACAGATCCCAGTTTTTGAACTGCTATAGGAAGATTTATACCCCCTTTTCCTAATATGAGGACTATCCAATCCAAACTGGGTTTGGAATTTACCAAACTACCATATTTTCACTGTTCTGTCAAGGTCACATAAAAACTGAATTGTCATTATGCTTATTCTATACAAATATTGACACTGTTACAGCATCCTTTACTTCCTGTGCAGAACGCCAAGGCTGTTTCTGCCTGGAACCCTTAATCCCACCAGATACATTACACTGCTATGCTTTTAGGCGGAAACTAAATTAAAATTAAAAAATAAAAGATTAAGTGACTCCTTCCCCAGACCACTTCCTTCGGCTTCCTTTTTTTTTTTTCAGACCAAAATATTTGGCTGCCAACATAGCACCCAGAAAAATTGGTCCCACCACAGGTGCACACCTAGTAAAGAAACAAGTAATCTGTTTCCTGGTTACTAATTTATTATTTCTACCTTCCAATTTATTGTAACTATGTTCCGTTCATTTCATACTACCCTGGGCTAATTTTCATACTACCCTGGGCTAACTGTGATTTAACTTTGTTGCCCTTTATGAAACAAAATACATGTTTACTATCCTTTATCTGGAAATCCAAAATGTTCACAAGGGTGGCTGAGACAGTGACACCTTTGCTTTCCAATTGTTTAGTGTACCCAAACTTTGTTTCATGCACAGTACCACTAAGATATTGTAGTACTAAACTACTTCTAAGGTATCTATATAGGATATGAATCATAGATGAAATCCATGTTTAGACTTGGGTCCCACCTCCAAAAGAACTCATTATGTATATGGAAAAATTCCAAAATCCCAGAAAAACTCAAATCCAAAATATTTCTCGCCCCTATCATTTTGAATCAGAGATATCCAACATGTACTAATAGCATCCACATCAAAGTTATCTTGTTACTCAGGACACATATAATTTAATTTTTCCTAGTCAGCAGCTACTAATCATGAATGTGCCAGTGGATTTAAAAACAATTTTTTTAACCAAATTTATTTATTTATTTATTTATTTACTTCATTTGTTGACCGCCGTTCTCAGCCCTAGGGCGACTCACGGCGGTGTACAACATGTAAAAACAGTTTACAATAAGGCAAAACACAGAGAAATAACAGTATAACTATCAATGTATAACAATAATATAACTACACTAAATCATCCGCGCCGTCTCATCATAGAATCGTAAACCAATCTCGTAATCCGTATTCCGTTCCAGTCGTCATTGCCAATTGTCGTAGCACTTAGTTAAACGCCTTCTCAAATAACCATGTCTTTAGGCTCTTGCGGAATGACATAAGGGAGGGCGCCTGTCTGATGTCTACAGGGAGGGTGTTCCACAGCCGGGGGGCCACCACCGAGAAGGCCCTATCTCTCATCCCCGCCAGACGTGCCTGTGAGGCAGGCGGGATCGAGAGAAGGGCCTCCCCAGACGATCTCAAGGCCCTCATGGGCTCATAGGCCGAGATGCGGTCAGACAGGTATTTTGGGCCGGAACCGTTTAGGGCTTTGTAGGCCAACACCAGCACCTTGAATTGGGCCCGGTAGCGAAATCGGCAGCCAGTGGAGCTGGTACAACAAGGGCGTTGTGTGCTCCCTGCGTCCCGCTCCTGTTAGTAACATGGCTGCCGCGCGCTGGACTAGCTGAAGCTTCCGGGCCGTCTTCAAGGGCAGCCCCACGTAGAGAGCGTTGCAGTAGTCAAGGCGGGATGTGACCAGAGCGTGTACCACCGTGGCCAAGTCAGACTTCCCGAGGTACGGGCGCAGCTGGCGCACGAGCCTAAGCAAAGCCCAATGTTTTAAAGTAATAAAAAAACACTATCAGCTGGGCATAAGGGGCATGACAAAGGTGAAAGAAGATGTTCAAAGGGTTGATATATGAAAGATTGAAGCCTTATCTTTGGATGTAAAAGTTATGGTCATGTGATTTAAAAAAAATATTAAGCACACGATTGTTGGTATTCCTTTGATTGTATAATGAAAGCTGCAAATCTTAGGATACAGGGTTAACAGTAAGCATTACTATCTTACAAAATTTCATGAGCCCATGTATAAAACCAAAGGGCATTTTTAAAAAGGGTGATACTCCATGTGGCTGTTTGAAGGCTTTTATCACCTAGAACTCAATGCAAAACAAGCATCAGCATTATAAGATATCAAATACTTGTGGATAATGTGTTACTTTAGCAGCTTCTGTTACCACTGTATAGATGAAGAAATTAACCACAAGCACTTTTAGGATGTGGCTTCACCATGTGTAGTTAGTATTGTAGTGACAAAAATGGATGATGACAAGGCCCCATCTACAGTGGCCAAACCACCTTGGACTTCCGTCCCCAGGGTAGTTAGGATGGATCCTTTTTAAATTTTCCTTTCGGTGACATTTTAAGATTTTTGTTTTCCAGGATGCTTCTGGTTTTAGAACAGTTATGGTGCTGTACTGTTGTTACCTGCGATAATTTGATTGATATTCATGCTATTACTTAATTCTACTTTAATCTTAAATTTGTATATTTTAATTATATTACCCATACTTATTTTCCTCATAAGGAGCTTATATTTTGTTGTAATTTAGAATGTACTTTATATAGGCCAGTTTCTGCTATGTATATGACAACATTTTAAATGCCAAATTAAGAGGGGTTTTTTTTATAAAAAAAAAACTTTAGTATTTTAAAGTGTCTATAAGAATCTATATACTGGCAAGAAACTGAAAAATTTGCAAGCTTTTTTAAAAAAAGAGAACCAGTAGCTTATTATAACTTTAGTAAGATATTTTTGAAAATAATTTAAAATAATCTAGTATTTTAAAATAATTCAGCAAGGGAGCCTCTGCTTTCTTAAATTATACAAAACCTTAGTTTGGGGACACTAAGAACCAAAGAAAGCTGGGTCATGAGCTAATGATAACAGACTTGGCTGAAGGGATGAGATGGGAAAGGCTAAATAATACTAAAAGCAAATATTCTAAATTATATTGGATATAGAATCTGTCAATGTCAATACTAATTATGGCTTTATTCCTGTACTGTGGATATTACACACAATCAGGAATAAAAAAATATCAATCCATGTCAGAAGAAAACAAGTGCTGCATCTATAGTTACTGTGAACTCATAAAGCTCCTCAAAAACTAGGAGATTCTATTGAATCTTAAACTTGGCTTTTACCATCAAGAAAGTCCAATTTTTATCAGCCCATACTTATTTTCCTCCTAAGGAGCTTATAACTTTAGTAGGTACATGTCTTAAGAACTATAATTATTCAATAACAGTGCAATCCTTGGGAAAACCATGGAGCAAAGCACTAGTACCTTGGTTTCATGGGGGATTGATTCAAAGAGCCATTTTCTAATGGATACCAAAATCCAGAGACATTAAAGTCCCATTATATTCAATAGCAAAGGAAAATTGTGCACCTTATATAAAATGGAAACAACTCAAACAAGTGCCAGAGAAAACCTGAGAATCTATGAAATGGAGGTAAGCTATGTAGGCATACATATTTGTGGGTGCTCGGTGTGGTGCAAAATCATGGTTTGTTTTTGGATTGCCCCTCCAAATATATCGAATTCATGTGCTAAAACACCATCATGATTATCCACAAGCGAGATTGTGTAAAATCTAAATAACCTGAAGACTCTTCATATTCAAAATTTACAAGTCACAAATACAGAAACTGAGACAAAAAGACATTTGTAAAATATTTTGTAGAATGTAGTATTGATGAATCCATACACAAAGGAATTCTGAATAACACCTCTTCTAATCTGAATTTTACCATATAATTTCTCTTCCTCTTTTGTTCTCTTATTTAAGGATTTAAAATATAGCCTCTCTCTATAGTGAAATGTAGTGCAAACAAACAGTCCCCATTGTTTGATAGTCTCCTTCTTTCTTTACTTTCTTCCCAAGACTGTTGGTAACAATGGTCCCAAAGACTTGACAGCCTGGAAGGAGGAACTGGGCTATTTGCATGAGACAGTTATACTCCCTAAACACCACCAAGAATCTCAATTTGCACGTTTAAATGTTTCCTTGAGAAATGTTAGAGGATGGGGAAAGAAAATATTGAAAACTAAACACACAGATCTCTGAAATAGTAACGTATTAATCTGAAATTTCACAGATTGCCAAACTACTACTCTTTTCCTACAAACTATTGTTATCCCTGTCATGTGAGGAATTCTGTATCATTGTCTGATGGCCTTCTACAAATTACAGGCAGTTCCTGAGTTACAAACATCTAACTTATAAACAACTCTTAGTTAGGAAGGGAGGGAGGGTGAGAAAACAGGACGTGAGAGAAATCTACCCTTAGGATGG